GCTCTGAGAGATCAACAGCCCAACATCAAAGGTTTTAAATTATAGAGGCATTAAATCGTTCACTGTTTAACTCTTTCATTCAAATGATCTTAAAAAGATAATGATGATTGGAGTCCTACAGGGGGCTATTCTGGGCTCTTGTTATTTACATTATTCATCAAATATATAAGGGAAGCTACTTCTGGTAATATAACATTTGCATGCAAGCACCAAGCTGTGTGACAGATGTCATGAGGCTGATAGTATTCAAAGGAATCTGAACAAATGAAATGGACGTGCTTAGGAAAAGTGGATGGAATTGAACATTAATAAATATACGTTTGTGGTTCTAAGTGACCAAAAGCTACCAAAAGCTGGAAAGGAGAAGAAGGATTTCAGTGCTTCAGCAATCTGACTCTGAAAATGAATTGTAAAACAAAATAATAAGATAAATATAAACAATATGGTACAAGAAACTAAATAGCAATGCTTTGGAAGTGATTCAGTTGAGAAGACAGATTGCACCAGCTCCAGAAAGAGCTGCAGTCTGCAGTAATGCTTCTGAGGACACATCACCCAGTGCACTGCATAGCTCTGTCCACAGTGAATTTGCTTTAGCTCTGTGGCAAGCACTGGTTTCAAACGAGTCTATCCCTAAGGCAGTGAGAGTCAAAACCTATGTGTCACAACATTAAGTAAAGTGGAGCTGTAACACACATGCTCAGTTCTCCAGTAAGCAGCTTCGGAATGCTGGTAACAATTTCAGAAATATAACAAAATGAGATCCAGTCATCCATTCAGAAATATTTTGAGCTTTAAATTGAAGGTTTAATCAGTTTGGTTCACACCAAATTGTTTACAATCTAACTGCTTGAGGTAATTGCACAATACTATTGTTGATTTGGTTTGATCTGACATCAATTATTTAAATACAGTTCAATTCAAGCTTAAATTAAATTCAGTTTTGTAAAAACTCAGTGTAATTTTCATATATGATCAACACAAAGTAACTGTACCACTTGAAATGTATCACAGAAGCTCTGCAGTTTCTTGCATTCAGGATAATGCATTACAGTCGGTCTTCCACTCTGTAGAAAGGCCAGCATTTGGGTCTATCACATTTGTGAAAACACAGCAGGGATGTTTTGTCAGTGGAGTGTGATTCATTAATTGCCAGTAACATTCAGGAAAACTCATAATTGAAGCTTTAAAATCTAAATTACCATTTAAATGAAAGGATTATTCTGTCACGCTTCTGTGGGGTCATTCCAGTGGAACTAAACCTCATATTTCTCAGTTATGGCATCTCAGTGACATAGTGACATAAAATGGATTCATCTGAATTCCTGAGCTTTCTGAACTTTGGAAGTTGTTCAATTTCAAGATCCTCATACTGACCTACAAATTACTTTGTGCCCTAGCACCTCCCTATCTCTCCAACCTGCTCAGATCACGCTCCTCTACGCACCCTCTTCGCTCAGCTGGCTTTGGCCTGTTGTACATCAGTCAACTCCTCAGCTCCACCATCGGCAGCTGAGCTTTCAACCCTGAACCTCTGGAACTCCCTACCTCATTCCCTCCACCTTGATCTCTCTTTACCCAACTTCATATTGCACCTGAAGATTTTCTTCTTCGACAGCACCTCCCTTTTCTCCCTGACTCGGCATCAAGCAACACCATAGTTCAACTAATCCATCAAGCTATCCCGCGTGAAGAGCACAAGATTTTGATGTTGCTTTTCTTATTAACTGTTGATACTGGAATCATGACTATACTTGGTCATTCTTATACACTATTTTGTTGGACTCTTTGTTATTTCTGAAGAATGTAAAATAAAAAATAACTACTACAAATTACAAGTATTATGAACCAAAGAGATCAAGAATAAGGGCCTTTGTCATCTGTATTTCTTGTGATCTTTTGCGATCTATATAGAGGGAATAGAGGGTTAAAGGTGAAGAGAATAGGAATGGCTCCTTGCCGTATCATTCTATGAAACTCTATGTAACATGATAGATGAGGCTATAAAAAGGCCAATGGGTTCTTGGGCTTTATATCCAGAAGGATAGAATGTAAAAGTGAGGAGATGATGTTGAATTTGTACAAAGCCTTTGTTAGAGCACATTTGGAGTACTGTGTCCAATTCTGGCTCCACACGATAGGAAGGATGTACCAGTGATGAAAAGAGTGCAGTACAGGATTACTAGGACGATACCAGAGCTGCCAGGTTACTACTATCAGGATAGACTGGATAAGTTAGACCTTTTTTTTTGCTAGAAAAGAGATGTTTAACGAGGGGATGTAATAGAAGTAGTTAACATAAATAAACAGTTTTTACTGGTTGGGGAGTCGTAACCAAGAGACGCAAGTATATGATAGTGATTAGGAGATTTAAAAGAGAATTTGGGAGGAACTATTTCATGCAGAGGATAGTGAGATTGCGGAACATGTTCCCTGATATGGTGGTGGAATCAGATAATCAGATCGTGTAGATCAATAGTCGCCAACCTTCATGATTGGCCAAAAAGTAATTTTTTCATTATTTAATTTTTCTTAATTTATTGCGATGCCATGGGTATTGTAGCTCAGTAGCTGCTGGACTTTGGTAGCTACTGGACCTGCCTGGACTGGTGCAGGTGTTTGGCGGCCCCTCCTTGACGCTCCAAAAAGTGGATCATGATTGACTGGTTGGAAACTCCTAGTGGAGATGCATTCAAGAGGAAGCTCAATCTTTACATGAGGGAAGAGGGAATAGAAGGATACGGGAGGGAGTAAGGAATGGGTGAAGACTTGCGTGAAGTATAAACACTGGCATAGACAGGTTGGGCTGAATGGCCTGTTTCGATGCTGTACATTCTTTGTAAATTTTTGATATGTGGGTGAAAAATTGCAATGTTCAAATATCTGCCAATTTGGGTTAAAATATCTGCCAATGTCTAATAAACTGTGGAAGAAGCTCGATGGGCTGAATTGTAATACAATCTAGAACATAAAATCTGAAGTAGTGGAGTAATCCTGCCAATGTATAAATCATTGGTGAGACCATACTTAAGAGTACAGTTCTGGTCACCACAGTATAAAAAGGATAATGGAGAAATCGAGAAGATACAGAGGAGGGCAATCAAAATGATTGAGGGAATGAAGGGTCTGTACTATGAGGAACGACTAAGTAAATTGGGCATGTTCACGCTGGAAAAGAGAAGATTGAGAGGCAACATGATTGCTGTCTTTAAGATTCTAAAGGGGCAAAACAATATAGATCATGACAGGCGGTTTCAACTTGTCCAGAATAGTAAAACCAGAATGACAGGAGGCAAATTCAGAACAAATCTATGCAAACACTATTTCAGTGAGTGAATAGTGAACCTGTGGCTCCCTAGGGAAGCAGGAAGTGTTGATTCTTTCAAACACAGATTAGATAGTTTTCTTTTAGGAGATAACATTATGGGATACAGTACATAGGTAATTTGGGACATATGTGCATTCGACCACCAGGAAGATGGAAGGAGAACTAGATGGACCTTTTTTTGTCTAACATTTCTTATGTTCTCGACAACAACAGCAATTTACATTTATGTAGCACCCTCAGGGTAGGGACTCAGAGCGCTATAAGAACAGGAGGAGATAGGCTAAAGATCAGAGAAGAGAAGGTGATCAGAGAGATCAGGTTTAATTATTGTGTACAGAGGAGAGTGGTAAATGTGTGAAATGGATTACCGAGGGAGGTGGTGGAAACAGATTTTGACAGGAACATCAAGAGAGATTTGCAGGTATGAGATATAGAGTGGTGCATGATTATTTATTCATTTATTGCTTTGGGACCAGCCAGATGTTGGCAATGCTTTTTCTGGTTGTATTTCTATGTTCCAGTCTGATGTGTCAGCCTGGCTCAGCTGGCAGCACTCTTGCCTCTGGGTCAGAAGGTTGTTCTTTCAAGCCATGGACTTTGAGCAGAGAGTGGAAGCTGACCCTCCAGGGCAAGGCTGTGTTATCGAAGGTAGAACGAGATGTTACCCATGGCCTGCATGTTCAACTGGATGTTAAAGATTCCATGACTCAGTTCATAAAATAACCTGTTTCTCCTGTTGTACTGGCCAACAGAAAAATAGTCATGCTCTTCATGTTGCTTCTGGGATACTTTAAGCAAATCTGTGGGATTTGCTAACACGAGCACAATCAATACACTTGAAAGCAATTTTGGAATTATAAGCACTATTTTAGTGCAAAGATTATGATGATAAATATCTCAATTCTAAAGCTAAGCTGAACTAGATAATAGTTTTGTTACCCATGGCTTGCCTAATCAGAGTTACTTGTGGAGGTAATTACATGACTGGTCATCTCTCCATAATGAAGTAATTACAACGTTCAAAGGATTAAATAATATATACGTCACCAAAACAAATCTTTAGGTGCTCCAGGAAATGATTTCCATTTCTGAACAGACACATTGGAGACTAAAACATGGTATTCATAACAAGATTTACAGATAGGAGCTCTTGCCAGTTTTGTCATTCCAACCTTCAGGATCACTGCTCCAGAAACTATTTGGACTGATTGGAATTGGATAGAGTTACATAGAATGACACAGTACGGAGGCAGGCCATTCAGCCCAACTATTCCATGCCAGTATTTATATTCCACACAAGCCCTCATCTCTCCTATTCCCCTCTCTGTGCCCTTCTATTCTCATCAGTAGCTGAGACACACTGCCAGTTGCCAGCATAAGTCACTATGTATGAAGCCAGTAATGAATCCTGCATTTTAAGAACCCACTGTTACTAAGGATTTCATTTGCTTCTTTGTTTAGGTAATTTGTTGTCAGAGATACTTTCAATTATTATGCCACGAATACACCGTGTTTGATCAATGCACAGACATCAATTGAGAGCATCTCATTGTTTTACTCCCTCTCATGTGAGTTTTGAGAAGCTCTTTATTGCTCCCCTTGCCTTGAATTTATTCCCTTGAACAAGAATCGTACTATTGACTGCATTTTTCTCTTAATTTTTCTCTGGCAGGTTTTGAAAACTATTTCCAGTGAAGAAGCTGCTCAAAGTCAAGGCACCCGGAGGTTGATCAGTTTTACACTGTCAGGTATGGATACATGTTAACGCACTCTGACCCTGACTTTCAAAAACAAGGCAATTATCATCTTTGTAATAGATTTCATTGTATCCATGTGACATGGACATGCAACGCATTACTCAGAACGGAACAATTAATCTGTCAGTTTCTGTAGAACAATAGAACCATAGAAATTTATAGCACCAATTGAGGACATTCAGCCCATCGTGCCTATCGTGTCTCTGTCTGAAAGAGCTGTCCATTTAACTCCATTCTCCTGCCTTTTCCCATACCTTTTTATACTTCTCTTTTCAGATATTTATTTAATTCCCTTCTAAAAGCTAACATGAATCCCCCTTAAAAACTATGATTTTAAGATCAGTTTGGATGATGAAGGCCCTTCGGCTCAACTGATCTCATCCCTCCAGAACACCCACTCTACCGTCCGCCCATCACAGCATCAAGCCAATGTCCTGTCCTAACCATCTTTCCTGGCAACATGTTCCACTCGTTAATTACCCCTGGGTAAAGCAAACAAATCCTGGTGTCTGTCTTAATATTGCCCTTTGCATCTCTAAACCTGTGTCCTCTTTTTCTACTGTCTTGGTGAAACCAAAACTGTTTTGGTTTCAGGCCTTGGGACATCCTCCCGATGTGAAAGGCGCTCTATAAATGCAATCTTGTTGTTGTTGTTGTTATGGGTTTACTTTTTCAATCCAATTTAAAATGTTATGCACTTCTATCAGGTCCCTCTGAGATCTCTCAAAACTGAAGATCCCTGGCTTGTCTAATCATTGCTCATAGCTCTAACACTGAGTATTATCCTCATTGCTCTTATTGGCATAAACTGGATTTGTAAATACTATATCTAGTTGATAGAAAGCAATGAGCAGTGTTATGTTGAAAGTATCTGACTAGAAGGCCCACAAAAAGTCGTGGATTGAGTGACCAAATAATTATTATTTACCAAATTTGTTTTTAACAAGATTATTACCCCCAGAAAGCAATCCACCAATCGACTAACAACTCACTGCTCGGTAAACAGAGGCATGTGGAGTAAGGAAACTAGCCAAAGGTTTTGCCCTGCCCAGGAATCGAACTTGGGTCCTCTCGCTTGCGAGGCTAGCACGCTAACCAATATGCTATGGGACTCCACAAATGGCAGCAGGTTCAGTGGTAGCTAGGGGACTACTCAAAGGCTTATCATGAATGACCTTGGACTGAAGTATTTTGACAAAGTATGGGGGTGTAGTAGGGCACTTCATCTGTAGCTAGACGATGTGGAGTCCTGTAGCTCAGTGGTTAGAGCACTTGCTTTGCAAGTGAGAGATCTGGGTTCGATTCCCGGCAGGGCGAAACCTTGGGCAAGTTTCCTTACTCCACACAGAGCCTAATAATAATCCCTCCAAAAAAACAAAACAATAATAAATTGGTCATTTTCAATCCATGACTGTTTGTGGGACATTGCTGTGCGCAATTGGCTGCCGCGTTCGCCCACAAATATACAGTCAATTCACTTTACAGTGTGTTCTGTGAAGCGCTTTGGGACGTGCTCCCGACGTGAAAAGCGCTATATCAAATGCAAGGATTATTATTATTATTATTAACTGAAAATATTGATAATGGCCGGAATTTCTAGCAATGTGACAATATCACCAATGACAATTATCACATCAGGAACCGTATTTTTCAACTGAAGTCCTCCATTTGCAAGAACTGTTGAAAATCCATCACGAGAAATGAGAGAACTAGACAAACAAACAAAAATGTACCAAAGGCATTTATTGATTATATTGATGTATTTAAATATCAGCTAACACTGTCAGATGTTAGAGTAGAGTTTTGATACTAGGGGATAGGTTTAAAAAATTCTACATTTCAAAAATTTACGTAGGGTGTACAGCATGGAAACAGGCCACTCGATGCAACCAGTCCCCATTTATACTCCTCATGAGTCTCCATCCACGCCTAGCTCCCTACCCTTGCATTCCCCACTCCATCATGTGAAGGCCTAGCTTCCTCTTGAAGGAATTTATTTCAAAATAGACCTGGTTGTAATTGAAATTCAGAAAAGGAAAAGTTGGAGAAGTACAGACAAATGCTAATTTGTTTTGCATCATGTAGATTAGGTAAGTGCATCAAACAGAATGTGTAAGGCTTTAAGGTATACAATTATTTAGGAGTGGGGCATCATGATTAGAACAGTTCAAAAGATCAATAGTTCCTATTATAGCCCATATAATGCAGTTGTTCAGTGTTTCCTTTTGATTATCTCCTAACGCTTTTTAGTGTAACTGAATATCGTCTTCATTAAAATATTAACCATTCCATGAAACCTGAAACCACTCTGTGAAGCTCTCAACAAATCGCTGTAGTTTTAAATATTTAATGAAAAGTATTTATATTTCCGCCTCTTCCTGTGACAAGCTGCAGAAATAACAAGTTCTCTTGGGCAATTCGATCTCCATTGCGAATGGACCAAATCCTACTTCAGTCAGGCATCATCGTTCAAAATGTTAGTGTCAATTGTCACATCAGAAGCTCCCTAGGGCCCCATGGATGATCCTTTCTTCCTTTCGCCCTGGCGTGTTGCAAAGATCAGAAACTTCAGTGTGCATCTCTCCTAAGTGGATCTGGCAACATCGCTAACTGTTGCAAGCAATTTCCATTAGATGGCTGATCTAGATCATTTATGTCTTGTTTCGTAAAAAGGAAATGCATTAACCCTTTGAGAAGTGAGACTTTTTTTTCTGGATTCAGAAGAATATGCAGGCTTTCTGTAACACTCTGGAAATGAAAGAATGCAGAGTGGAATGCAAATCCAACTCAAGGCACATCCTGCCTACTCTGCACTGAAAATCACAATCTGGTATTTTTGCACAGAGTACAACATTATTAACATTGGATTCTGCTGTAGGGGAGACAGGAGCCCTGACATATATGTATTCGTAGGTTTATTTCTTCAATAAAGAGGATTTGCACCTTTGGCATTGACTTTAGCTTCTCCTGATCATTTCCTAATTCCGTCTGACTTGTATTTCTGGATTGACTGTTTGGGAGCATGTGGGAACCGGCATTTTGTCTTTTTTGTAAACAAACACTATCTTCATAAAAATAATATTTCATACAACACATTTTTTTAATTTGAGGAGGATGACGTCTTGTAGCACTTTCATTACATTTAAGTCATGAATGAGTGTTACAGCATTAAATACCAACACTACTTATTCACAAACAAGTGGAATGATTTTCCAGCAATATTCCCATGAAGATAGAGGTCTAGAATCTTACAGCACAGAAGCAGGCCATTTGGCCCATCGTGCCTGCTCCAGCTCTTTGTAAGAGCTATCCAATTAGTTCCACTCCCCCGCTCTTTCCCCATAGCCTTGGAATTTTTTTCCTATTCAAGGATATGTCCAATCCCCGCTTGAAAGTTATTATTGAAACTGCTTCCATCACCCTTTCAGGCAGGTGTATAAGATAAGTTTTCCCTACATATGGACTGAAAATCCTAAAACACCGATAATTTCATGGATATAAAATCAAGCATCAATATTTTAAAAATAAATTAAATCAACCATCAATATATTTATGCAGCCAAAAATGTTCAGAAATGAGTGGAGTGTGTAGTCATTCCTTAGTTATCATATGGTTACTTGTGAATATAATTGCATGTGAATATTAAGATTATTTCTCATACCACAGAATATTGACCAATTAAATTGTTCTGGTTCACAATATATGCCTGTCAATATTGTGTGGAAGCAGATTGATTAATGTATAAACCCTCACAAAGTTTATTGGATGCATGTTACATACTTCTGTATTTGTAAATCTTTTTGTTTGCCCTCTTTAGATTTTCATGCTGTTGGGCTGAAGAAGGGGATGTTCTTCAATCCGGATCCATATCTGAAGATTTCTATCCAGCCAGGGAAACACAGCATCTTCCCAGTCTTACCTCACCATGGGCAGCAGAAACGGTCCGGCATTGCCTACAACACCATCAACCCTGTTTGGCAGAGAGAGGTAGGTAGGGAGTACTGTAACCCGATCAAGGAACGGGAAAATGAGATACACAAAGACATATTTTTCATACCCTAGGAAAGATTACACTTTTGTTAAGTTAAATAAAACTTTAGAACTTGGTTACCATTTATGTTTGGAGAAAAATGAATGTTGAGACAAGGTTGGTTTGCCCTGAGAAACCTGAAATAATATATTATGGCAGGGCTCTGAATTTATCACTGGGATCACTAGGGTTAAAATAGTGAAATGATTCTGCTGTAAATACTAAACTGCCTTAAGTCCCTACCATCTAATTAATTTTATTTATTCTACATTTTTCTTAGCGATTTTTCTCTTCCCCTACTTCTTATCTACTCCCTTTATGGAGTACAGTTTCTCAGATACAGTTTGTACAGTATTGAGACTTTTCATATATTGGCCTTGATAGTGAGTTTTCACATGCCAATCTATGGTGAGAGACATTGCAGCCAAGCCTAATCCTGTGCTCATCTGACTTACCACACTGCGTACTTCCAGAAGAGGTCACTATTCAGCTACCAGGATTAAGAATCCTGGCTAATTTTTCTCTACCTCAACCCAAGCCAAAGTCAAATGTAAAGTTCTGACATTACCTCAGCTGAGATCAGGGCGAAACGTTTCCTTACTCCACACACCTCTGCTTACCTAGTCGATTAGCGGATCGGTTTTCCAGGAGTAATAATAATTCCTTCAAAATATTCCTTCACTCAACCCATGACTGTTTGTGGGACACTGCTGTGCGCAATTGGCTGCCGCGTTTCGCCCACAAAATATACAGTCAATTCACTTTACAGTATATTCTGTGAAGCACTTTGAGATGTCTCAAAGATGCGATAAGGCGCTACATCAAATGCAAGGATTATTATTATTATCAGCAAACTGAGCATATACCAGGGATTCAACCAAGCACTTTCCTGGTCTGCGTACTTCTTGTTTTTCATGATCATAAAATAAATATACAGTTAACTCCTAATCACAAGGCACTGGTTTAACTAGTCACTACCAGGTACATATAGGGTTTGTGGAGTACTGTAGCTCAGTGGTTAGAGTACTCACTTTGCATGCAAGAGACCTGGGTTCAATTCCCAGCAGGGTGAAAGCTTGGGCAAGTTTCCTTACTCCACACGCCTGATAATAATCTCTCAAAAAAACATAATAAATTAGTCACTTCAAACCACAACTGTTTGTGGGACACTGCTGTGCACAATTGGCTGCTGCATTTCGCCCACAAAAAAATAAAGTCAATTCACTTTACAGTATATTTGGTGAAGCACTTTGCGACGTCTAGAAGATGTGAAAAGCGCTATATCAAATGCAAGGATTATTATTATTATAATATCTCGGCTACATCCCAAATATACAGTCAATTCACTTTACAGTATATTCTGTGAAGCACTTTGAGATGTCTCAAAGATGCGATAAGGCGCTACATCAAATGCAAGGATTATTATTATTATCAGCAAACTGAGCATATACCAGGGATTCAACCAAGCACTTTTGTTAACAAAAAGAATCCGCGGATGTTGGACACGATCAGATGCATCGCAAAGGCCTCTGGTGGACTGCGCCATGTTCTCTGTGACAGGATAGGGCGGGAGGCCACGGTCCAGCCCTCCAATAGACCAGAGGCCTTTGTGAAGCAACCTCCACCATGTGCCAGGGTTTGGGGGTGGGGTGGGGGGCTGGCTAGCCAGTGGAGCTAACTGAGGTTGGGGGTGATAGATTCGCAGAGCCTAATGCAGGAGAGGATATGCACTGCAGAGTTCTGGATGGTCTGCGACTTGTGTTGGGAGGAACTAGGGAGTCCGGCGAGCAGGGTTTTCAAATAGTCTAGTTGTGAAGAAGGTGTAAACACATTCCAAATTACATTTATATGGCACTTTCATGTAGGGAGGATGTCTCAAAGTGCATTTACAGTGATGGCTTGGCACCCAAGCAGAGGATGGGAGCAGAGGGGTTGCGGAGGGAAAAGATGATGGAAAGTGTGATCAAGGAAGCATGCTTAAGACATGTCTTGAAAGGGGGCAGAGAGGGAGGGAGTAGGAAGGACTCCAGGATGGAGTTCCAAAGGGCAGCTGCATAAAGGCTGAAAGCTCACCCACTGATGGTGTTGAATGAGAGTCTCGGCAGCTGAGGGGAGAGGTAGAAACAGAGGCAGAGATGAGGGAAAGCTGAGCAAATGAGATCTGGATGAAGTACTTAAAGGAGAGTTAGGGATCGAACAGGGCACCAATACTTTGTACTGACTCCGGAAGAATGGAGTGAGCTTCCTTGCAGATCACTGCGCCAAATCCTGAACTGAGAAGGTGCTAAAGGGAGCCAAGCAGGAGAGCCTTGTTGACATTTATCTGGAGAAAGTTGGAACTCATCCAGGATTTGATGTCTGACAGGCAGTTGGACAGAACAATCCTGGAATCAAGGTCAAGGAGAACATAGAGGATATAGAGGCAAAAAGATCCTTGGAGATAGATGGAGAGTATGTCATTGGTGACTTTGATCAGGGCAGTATCAGTGCTGTGGGCAGGGCAGAAACCAGATTGGCAATGGCAGAGCCATGTTTATTTGACAACCTGTTGGGGACCATGGGTCATTATTGGTGGTGAAGCGCCGGTTGGGTGATGGAGTTCTCCTCCACCTTCTCATGGGTGCCAATATATGCAATATATATGTAAGCTGCATATATTTCCAATTGCATAATATGCTTGAAAAGGCACATTACATACAACAACTGGCATTTATATAGTGCCCTTCACGCAGGATAGCGTACCGGAGCATTTGACAGTGGTGGAGTCTGCCACCGAGCCGCGGGAGGATGGAAGTGACCGTAAGCACGATCAAAAAGTTAGGGCTTTAAGCAGGATTTGAAGGTGGGGAGGGAGGGGGCAAGGCAGAGGGATTGAGGGAGAGATTTACAGGTGTAGTTTTTGGGATGTAGTGGCAGAAGGCACGGCCATCAATAGTGGAGCAGTACACCTAAAAACCATCGGGGGGTGGTAGGGGACAGTTGAATTACCATTGTGGATTGGAGTGCTCAAAGAGGGAATGTTGGGAGAGTAAGCTGAGAGGCAGCATCCTGGAATGGAAGGACAAGTTGGAAATGAAGCAGTAGCTGGAGAGCACGTAAAGGTCAGGTGAGCGATTTTTGAGGAGGGAGTGAGGTGGTGATGACAGTTTTGAAAGTGGGTGGTGCTGTGAAATTGGCGGAGGGAAAGGTTGATGATATCAACTAGCAAGAGACCAAGGAGAAGCTGGATGGCCACGAGCGGTGTGGGGCCAGGTTAAGGGAACCCGGATATAATGCAGTGGTTGGAATCTATAAAATCCCACCCTATAATGAAGCACAACAGCTGGTTTCACTGCACATGATGCACCTTGATGCCATTTCCTGTACTTGGTGTGTATGCAGGCTAAGATGACTTTATCCATGCACACTACATCCAGATGTGTTGCTAGTGTGAAGCGCTCCAGGACACCACCCCGCGTGAAGGGCGCTATATAAATGCAAGTTGTTGTTGTTGGTATCATTTCACAAAGGAAGTGATGTCAGTGGGCATTTTTTCCCTTTGTGCATAGCTTGCATACCTAGTGTATAGGAAGTAACATGATCAACACTTCCTGTGTACAGCATGTAGAGTGCCAGAAGCTAAACTGATTGCCTGAACAGCCATTTTAGCATTTCCCGTATAACGCTGTCTCTGAGAATTGGACCCAGGGGAGAGAGGTATAATGAGATTGCCCTGTAGTTCATTCCAGTGGAGGAGCTGGGTCAAGCAGAGACAAATTGATGATATCCACGCTGCAATTTTAAGATTCTACAAAAAGCTTGTATAATCCAGATCTCTTAATGAGTTGTCATACTGTAGGTTCTGGAATCCAACTTTAAATTGGGTATCAGTTTCTAATGGGGCAGAGGAATTAATCTTTACCTTCGGCTGGTTGGGAGCTATAATGGACAAGCACTCTACTTAGCAGAATAAGATCATTAATGCCGAGGTAGCATTGCGAATACAAAATTACCTGGCACTGTGAGCAATATTGATCAGGGACAAGCTGGTTTGATGACATTGTTTGCCAGATGACTTGGTTTCTAATCAATATCGCCAGACTACATGGCTCCTGCGTAGACTAACAAAAGGCCAGCAACACAATGAACTAGACTGAAGCTGTGTCTAACACCAGGGAAAAAGGTGGGAAGATCTGATTTAGAACCTTTTAATTGTCTATCAGCAAGTTATGCGTAAAAGGCCATTAAGCACTATATTCAGAGCATAATTTATTGTCTTCTATGAGCTTCTAATGTTGATGTTATACAACTATTAGTCAATTTAATGCCATATTATCAAATGCAAGTATTTACATCAATGTAGCCTGTCGGTCACATTCATGGTTAGCAGTAAACACTCAAAAGGGACCATTCTTTGGAGTTACCCTGAGGTTAGTTACGGGGGCAGTGAGCTGTGCTGTGTTCAGAAAAGTAATTATCTAGGAGTCAGCGTGGCATTTTTGCCTCGAAGTCAGAAGGCTGTGTATTCAAGCCCCATGTTGGGTCTTTGAATTTACTGTCTAAGCTGACACTCAGCATAGTGCTAGAGAAACAATGCATTATTGGAGGTACCATCCCTTGGATGAAATGTTAACATAGAGTCCTATAGCTTAGTGATACGAGCACTCACTTTGCAAGTTAGACACCTGGATTCAATTCCAGGCAGGGCAAAACCTTGGGCAAGTTTCCTTACTCCACACGCCTAATAATAATCTCTCCAAAAAACAAAACAATAATAAATTGGTCATTTTCAATCCACGACTGTTTGTGGGACACTGCTATGGCAATTGGCTGCCGCGTTTCCCCCACAAATATTACAGTCAATTCACTTTACAGCATATTCTGTGAAGCGCTTTGAGATGTCTAGAAGTCGTGAAAAGCGCTATATTAAATGCAAGGATTATTATTATTATTATTAACATAATGAACAGTGAGGAGA